AAGAGTACAACTAATTTCACAGCCAGGTGAAAACACATAGCAAGTACATTTTCTTTACAAGGCTATATTTCTAACAAATAAGGGATGTTTCTACAACATATCACCTACTACTGAAGGTAGACAAATTAGTTCCCAAGACACTTTTTCCCTACTTTTAGCTACAGTCCACAGTATTGTACAGACTAGAAGTTTTATAGAATTATGCTCAAGATTTAAATATTAAGGTATTAACATTAAAAATGACAAAGGAAATCCTTAGCTGCACAGTGAAGCTAACATCCTAATCATCTTCAGAAAACTGTTCTAAGGTGGACAAAAGAAGAAAAAAAATGAAAATTTAAGTCTTTCACTGCTGTGTAATAAATATTGTTAAACAACTCTGAAATCTTTAAGTAAATTGAAAATTGGAACCTAAAAGAAAATCCAAGTTTACAGCAATATTGTCAAAAGCACAGAGACCAACCAGCTTCAAAACCATAAAGGAACGCACTCTTTTGCCAACTGACTTCTGACAGATCAACTCTGGTGACATAACTTACCAAGTCTGCAAAACTTGAAAAATGCATGTATATAGTACCAATTATGGGCTACAACTACCAAAATATATTCCTCTGAGAAAAGATTTAAATAAGAACACAGCCACGCTTTATGAGTTTTCACTGAAAAGTATTTAAATTTAAAGAGAACAGAGTTTGGCTACCACCGTTGCTAGAATTCTTTTATAAAACTGCCTTAGACAAAAGCAGTAGAAGACAAGCCTAAAAGTTACAAACAAGAAAACAACAGCAGATCAACTCAGAAAGGAATTTGCTTTCTGAAAAATCCAGCTTTGGCTGAAGAAATAAAAAGGGAATTCTACAGTTTAATCCTAACAAAACCAGGACATGTTTTTTTTAATGAAATCTGCATACAGATCTCAAATAAGATTCAAATAAGCCCTATCAGCTTTGGAGATGAGAAAATTACAGCTACAATAACATCAGCTAAACACATGGAAGTGTCTATTTCCACCAGGAGTATCCTTCAACTTTTCAGAGTAAATTTCTGTTCTGCAGTTGACTAGGTACTATGAAAGAAAATGGGATTTTCAGTTCTAACATATTTGCACAGTTTTTTGTCGTTAAAAAAATATTTAAAGAACGGAAATTAATTAGCAAATTTGTGGAAAATCTGGCAACATTTGAGAATAGTGGCAACCTCAGAAAGATCAAAGTATAACAAAAACATAGCATGAAATTAAGACAAGCAATATTTTTAGTGAACGTCCTCTCCTGTGACACGGATGCTTGGCACGTAAATCTAGCCAATAAGTATTTCTGCAGAACTTTCCATCACTTTTCAGTGTCAGAAGAATGCTGTCATTTTTGGGGACTTTGGCTGTCACAGCTAAACAGGTATGCTGCAACAAATGAAAAAACTAGACAGCAAATCTTGTTTACAGGATTCAAATAATGATATCAACAGATACAGAATCTCCATATTCGCACCTCTTGCGACTCATAAGAAAAATACCAAAACTGTACAGTGGAGTTTCTTTGGTTCTGACTGGTTTGGTCTTCTAATAACAGCTAAGTCTTCAGGTACTGGCTGAAGTTCCCATTAAGACAGATCTTAAGTTAAGCAAACTACTAATCATTCATCCCAACACAAAATAACCTGAGTCAGAAGCATTCTTTTAACTTCTAGTAGCATAATTGCACTGAATAATGACAGATTGAAGAAGATCAAGTAGTGTTTCTTATTAGAAGATCCACTGTGGCACCTCACGTTATCTTGCATTCATCATATGGCAGCATCAGAACAGCTGTGTATCTGCATCAAATGAAGGTTATACTCTCATACAGACAGACCAGCATACACCCACTTTTCTATATGTGAACAGGCAAGTTTACGTATTTTATTTAACTGTATACCATTGCTGTAGAAGAAAACAAGAGGGGCTGCGATTTATGCTTTTGTTCTGCAGAAAAGTAACTGATTTTGGAGGCTTTGGGACTGTACACCATGTCAGTTCTACTCCAATTACAGAAATGCACTCTTCTCTCAAACACAATGACTTAATCACATAAATTAATTATAAATTTGAGAAAAAAAAAACCCAACAAACAACCAAACAAAGACAACAAGATACAAGGAGCATCACAGAAAGACAAGTGTTGGTAAAAACAGCTAAGCATATGCATTCGGTGTAACAGGCAGGGTTTGGGTAGCAAAAGGCCTGTGCAGGAGGAGGTCAGGGACTGCCCTGTGCTGGTCAAAATAACTTCCAGCCAGCTCTGCAACCAACAAGCCACCACCCACCAAAATTTCAACCAGTCAGAGGAGCCTATGGTGCCTCTGAGAAAACATATTTAAGGAAGGGTAGGAGCTGCTAGGGGCAACAAGAGCAATAATCAGGGCAGCAAGGACAGCAGAGCAGGAGAAGAGAGGGATGCCAAAGGAAAACACCACAACAGAGATGCCAAGGTAAGAGCCCCTGGAGCAGGGGTGGAGAGGAGGCACTGGAAAAAGTACAACCTTAAAGGGACTGTGGCTGATGGAGGAATCCACGCTGGAGCAGTGGTAAGAAATGAAGAGCAGCAAAAGGAAAGGAACCTAAAGAGGTGTCCTAACGGGAGCTGAAGGCTGTTTCTTTAAGTGTTTATTTGTTTGCCTTTATTTCTCAATACCAGAATCACCGACTTTACTGCGGCCTTCCAGTTTCTGAAGGGGTACTACAGAAAAGCTGGGGAGGGACTTTTTACAAGGGCAGGTAGCGACAGAATGAGGGGGAATGGTTTTAAACTGGAAGAGGGTAGATTTAGACTGGATATTAGGAAGAAATTCTTTACTGTGAGGGTGGTGAGACACTGGCATAGGTTGCCCAGGGAAGTTGTGGATGTCCCCTCCCTGGAAGTGTTCAAGGCCAGATTGGACAGGGCTTTGAGCAACCTGGTCTAGTGGGAGGTGTCCCTGCCCATGGCAGGGGGGATGGACTGGATGAGCTTTAAGGTCCCTTCCAACCTAAACGATTCTATGATTATATTATTATTTCTATTAAAAGAACATCAGATTAAATTTTTGGCATTACAGTTGAGTTCTAAAGTATATCCAGAATTTCATCTAATTCCCCCCCCCCCCCGCCAAACATGGAGTATGCACATACGTAACAAAAACAAGTTTAACTTTGAAAATATCCTAAATACTCAGTAAATGTTTCTTTTTTTCTTGTGAGCAAATTTGCAAAAAAAGAATTAAACTGTAGTTTGATACGCCCAATAGAATATTTACAAAGTTTCTAAGAGGGAAGAGAAACAAGTAACCCACTGGGATAAAACCACTCCAACTTTTGAATGTTACTAATGATACATAACATAAGAAGTAAGAGTTTGTAGGTGCTTCTTAAAGTGCGTATGGTTATTCCTCCCCAGGTGCGGGTCCTTACACTTTCCTTTGTTGAACTTCTTCATGTTCCTCTCCACCCAACTCCCCAACCTGTCCAGGTCCCATTGAATGGTAGCACAGCTTCTGCTGTATCAGTCACCCCTCCAAGTTTTGTATCATCAGCAAATTGGCCAAGAGTACGCTCTGTCCCTTGATCCGAGCCACTGATGAATATGTTGAACAAGACTGGAGCCAGTACTGACCCCTGGGGAACAGCACATGCCTCCAAATAGACTGCACCATTGATCACAACCCTCCTAGTTCTGCCAGTCAGCCACAGCATTTCTCTCTTTCAAGAGCCAGAAGAATCTTGGTAAGAGGTAACTCAAACACTCTGGGAGCAAGTATTTTAGTATTAAGTGACTCGAAAAACCTTTTTAAAATTTCTAACACATGCATACCTCTTCACTTCTACTGACAAAATATATACACATTTCCTACTGCAAGTGTAGTCTAATGGAGTATCAGTTAACTTTCACAATATTTTCTCTATGTCATTAATAATAACCTCAAGACAGTCAAACAAATGGAGTTTAAAAATAGCTTATTCTTTTAAGTAAAACTGCATATTCACTGTGGGATAAAGATAAATTGAACTCACTTTGGGTTGTTTTATTAGGTCAACTAAATCCTTTACTTGATGTCGTAGCAGATTTTGACATTTCCACATTTCATTCAATGCTCTAAAAATAAAACAAAAAAAAGAGTTGTCAAAGTAATCTAATCAATAAATAACACAACTATCCCTTAAGAGCCTTAAAATCCTTTTCAACTTCAGACTCGGGAATGGGCTTATCACCCGAAATTTCATCACTGTGTGAGCAAAGGCTGAATGGTTCCTAATGGCATGATATGGAAAATTAATTGGTCACATTAGACTGGAACAAAGTGAGATTTTGAAGCAACTTTCATTTCAGATGCTTAACTACACTGCCTTTCAAAAACGCAGGAAGTAACTGATGTCTGCCCATAAAGAACTCATTTGTACAAGCTTGAAATCACTCTTCTAAAACATGCCGAGAAGGCGGCTAAAGCCCATGTTTAAGATTTTATCATCAAAACTGCTTCTTGCACACAGAATGCAGCTACTACATGAATAAATTGCAAAAAGCGGACATGATTAGACTTGTAAGAGATGCATTAGAGATTTTCAGCAAAACTGAATATTAGCACACTTTCCAGGAAAAATAACCCATATGGGAAAAAAAAGTCACAGCTTCATTTTTAAAACTTCCAGAAACAACAAGTAAAAAGTCAGTTCTATATAACTAACTGAAGGTACTATATCTTTAAAATGAGTACTGCTGAATGTGAAAACTAGAATTCAGACAACTTGCTTGAAATAACAAGTATTGAAAAGAAGCCAGTCTGAATTTTTGTTTATTCTATACTAAAAATTACTGGAACATGAAATTTTATTAACATACTATTCTTAATTTCAGTTTGTTATAGTTGTAATATCTTTAGGCATGTAATAGAAAAAGTGTAGGGGATTCAAACATCAGTTTCTGTAGTATCTGAGGGCTCCATGGGTTTAAGCTATTCTTTGAAATACAACATTTTTTCCTCGTCTCCCACATGAGAAAAAACAAAACTGTTATTAGACCTGTTCATGTACATGTACCCATTTTAAGGTGGAGAACACATGTAACATTAAACAAAGTGCATATCGAAGGAGGAAAGACAAATAAGTAATTCCTTCCCACTCTTAAGTCATCCTGGCTACTAAACTAAGAGTGTATTAGTTGAGAAGTTGTCAGATAAGATCTAGGGCTAGTCAATGTTACCATCTAGGCTCTCTCTTTTTAGACATAAAAGGACTAACATGCACTCAAGCTTCTTGCCAGATATTTGACAATACCTTTTTTTAGCTGTTTGTGGTTAAAAGATACCACGCCTTGGTAGAAAACACCCTATTAATTTATTATTTTTTCTTCTAAAATCCCCAACTTGAAAAATAGTTATTATTGCTACATTCTATTTACTCATAGCTTGTAACCTTTTTGTCCACTGGCTTAGGCTACTCATAACAACGTAGAACTAATTTACAATAATAAATGTATTAAAAACTATTTTGCAAGAACATCAAAACCAGTACATACTTCACAGCATTTGAATCCAGTGTTGCATAAAGGTAATACAAACATTTCATTCGTTCATTTGTTTCCAAGTTGTGAGGGACCATGTACTGAGCAAATATTCGTTCAACAAGTAATCTGAAAGACAGGATTAAGAAACTGTAAAGCAAGCAAGTGGTCTTGAATTGCTGAACATTCACTCAAAAATTCTCAGACCTATCTAGAGATTATTTGTTGCACAGAAAGATGGGGTTATCAAAGAATCTGAAGGTCAAGTAAATTAACTTCCAATACGACTCAGCATAAACTAAACAAAAATATATAATTACAGAAGATGTGCTGTTAATGGTAGCTGTTTGTGACATTTAAAAGATGACTTTATCAAAATCAGATTTATTCATTTATATAGGAATCAAAGAATTTTAAAGAAGGATAACTCAATTATCAGCACAAATATAGACATTATCAGTGAATTTCATTTCATGTAATTATTGGGAAAAATTTATGAAGTGACTCAAATTCATGGGCCTAATTTTTTTATATTATTTATATTACATGTTATAATGAAACCCAGAAGAAGAATTCAGGTACCAGTCAGAAGGAGCTGACTTCCCTCCACCCCTCCCCAGCCCATTTCTTTCACTTCCACAATAAAAAAAAAAAATGCAGGTACATTCACATGGAAAATGTCAAAAGCTTCTACTATAACATGGAAGTTCCTTATTTGGAAATATCAGGAATTGGGTCTGTCACTTACCTAGGAAAGACTGAGAAGAAGAAAAGAAAGAAAAAACCCTACACGCTAAAAACTAAGCCCATGTTGCAGTCTTAAATATCAAGAGGCCCAAGACTCTTGCAAATCGAGGTGAGCGTTAACAGAACCAAGTAAATATGTAAAAATAAAAAAAATCATGTCTGTTTAGGCTAGAAATGAGAAGAAAATTGTTACACACAAGTGGAGGCAGTGGTCAAAACCAAAACCCAGCTAGTTTAAGAAGATCCCAAAGTTCAAGAAAAACATGAGTGGGTGAGAGTGGATCTGAAAAGCCAGTCAGTTCCGTCCACTTTCATGGTACCATGAAATAATTGCTTATTTTGGAGATGACTGAGGTTGCAAGTTTTTGAAAGGACTTGTATGGTTTGCAATGCCATTCACATCTGACGATGCTGTGAAGGCCAAAGGCTCATTTCCAAAGTCACCAAGATGACCTTGATTAGTCAAAGTAAACTTGTTCCCAAACAAGTTCCCCATGTGCAGTCATCTATTTTTCGATACAAAGCTACAGCTGGTATGACAGAGGCACTGCTTTCACCCCAAATCCAGGACAAGGCTCCAATTCATGGCTATTATCATACAGAAAAACTAACCTTCTGCCAAGAGAGGTGCCTTAACTGTTGTCACTACAGCTATGAGACTTATCTTTAAAGCAAACAGGAACAACAAATCTAGAGCACGTATGTTAAAGCAATTTTACTTACTGAATTTTAACACGAAAGTTAGCAAGCTACTGAAATATAAACCAAAAAAATCTTTACTGAAAAACAGGTCTGTGTAATAAGTCACCACACTTGTCCACAGAATTGCCTAGCTTTCACGACTTACCGGTCATCAATACTGTTTTGATAATATATATGAAGAAGTTTATCTTTGATCCACGATATCTGTTTTGCAGCTTCTTTTCCTGCTTCTGATTGTAATGAATATTTCTTGTATATCTGTGCAAGTCCCATCATAGCTTCCTTCCTCACTCTCCACTTGGAAAAAATGAGAAAGTACCCAGTTTAGCAGTTCAAAACTCAAAACTGAAAAGGCTGCAGAATTCTCTGGTAGGTATTTCCTATTCTACACTAAAACAAAATAATTAATTTACAAAAAAGTTAAATTGAGTTTCAAGTGTAACGCTTCTTCATTAGGACATATGTTGCATCACATCTACTATGCTAAACCTTTCAACATTAGTAACTACTATGCAAGTATGCCTCTTCAATTTAGAATTGTAAATTTAAACCAACACTCTCTCGCAGACCTTTACTGAACATTTGTGATAGCATTGGGCGTGCAACTGCGGGAAGTGTGTCGCCAAATGAAAAAAATCAGGTGATGTTAATTTTAAGAGTTTGCCATCAACAGCCTTGTTTACCATGCTTTAACATAAGCAGCAAACCTAATAAATTTTACCAAATAATGAAAAGCAGCTAAACTAAATTTGAAGACTACTCAAATTTGAAAGCTACTACACTGATTTGCAGTCTTTCAACAATCTCATTAAAGCAGATAAACTAGCAACCTCTGATGGTGGAACATATTTCATCAGTAATCTACAATACATTTTGGAAGCTGCTTGAAAACTTTCTTATTAAAAACGTTAGAATGCTTTACAAAGGTCTCATTTTACTTAAAAATTTTACTAAAACTAGACAACTGGAACAACATTGTGATGCTCCAGCCTTTAAGTAATCATACTGTCTTAAATAAAAATACAGCACAATGAATAATGTGGCATTCCAGTAAGGGGCAAAAGATGCCTCAATCAAATAGACTGCTTCAGAATTTTTTGCATTATATTGGTTTTCATTAGTCACTTTAAAATTAGTTTAGCTTTTTTTTAGAAGCACTGCTTTTTAAAAAGCTGAATTACAGTCTATAAATATAATGCACAGCCATTGCTAGAACTAATTATGTCTTACCCGCTTGTCCAGTGTTCGTTCTCTGACAAAATTAAGCAGGTGATCATTGACAAGCAGAAGATCTTTCTTAGCAGCAGTAACTATGGATACTATAACATCATGCCTTATGGCCTCTTCAGGATCATGTGACCTTACTTTAAGATATTCTGGAAAAAAAATAGAGTAAGTAGTTCCCTGTAAGTACACAACTTCAGCAACTTTTCTATCTCTAGACAGTACTCAACAGACAAAAGCAGAAAACATCATTTCCTACTGTTTTATCAACAGTAAGAAATCAAGTTTTCTTCAAGATCAGTAAAACTTTTTTGCTTAGAATATCAAAATATTTATATTTCTGGCATCACAAAAATAAAAATCTAACCTCATAATTCTTATTTTTATTATTTCTTATAATAGTTAAGCTATGTCTACATTAGAAATAATTAAAGCCCAACAGAACTGTATCTGCAAAGCAGGACGGACAGTGCTGAGAACTTGATATCCACACTGTACACATTGTGAAGCCTTCCTTTAGGCTACAGGCTACTCTTTTCCAGCAGACCCCACCCTCTGTGCCTGCTGGAGTACGTAAGTTGCACTCCGGATCACAACTTCTGTGTTATCCACAAGGAATCTTGTTCATGTGCTCCAGGAACACTTCACAGTGTGAACTATTGTAAGCAGGGACAAATCAAGAGACGTACTTCAAAAGCATGCTCTTTAACCAAGCTATAAGGCTAATTTTTATTTTAGTTTATTAAATTTATAATTAGTTTTCTAGACTATTTTGGCCCATCATCACTTATTTGGTAGCATCAGTAATCTTACACTATCAATATTTTAAGTTTTCTGCTTATAAGTGTCAACCACGTTAGCTATCTATTGTAATTTTAGAAAGCTGACAGAAAATAAAACGGCAAAGCTCATTTATGCTTTTAGAAGCACATACTTTGGGTTACACAGAAGCATAAATGTGTAGGAAAAAGTAAACAAAAGTCATTAAAATCACTTGCAGAGCATACATCAGTGAAACATTGAGAACATTAGGAAACATTGAAAACTCGAAGTTTACTCTGAATGAAATAATGAGAGGTTACTGTTCTCTTATTACTGTTCAATGACTAGTGAAAATTTTCAAGTCTCACCTGAAACACTGCACATTAACATTTTTGGTAAGAGACACAAGCATCGAGAAAGCACATCAAGAAATGAAACCGGAAGTTATGAAATTTGAAATCCAAATAGGACTTTTTTTTAAAGAAATAATGTTGTTGCATAGGAAAACATAATAAACTAAAACAAATGAAGAACAATGCCATTGCACAAAACAATTTTGGTCTCAAACACCAGTGAGTCAAAAAAATTTTTCAACAATTTTACCTTGATAAGCAATGTGAGGAGAAAGGAGGGGCAAACAAAATTACATTTCCTAGAAGACACTATTAGAGGGGGCACACAGTCTTTTTGCAGTGTAAAAAAAGAAACCAAACCAAACCAAACCAAAAATAAGCCAACCCCTTGAAAATACCCTCTGATAATCGAAGAGGAAACAACCTTACCATTCCATTAAGGAAAGGTCCAGAAAAAAATTTAGTTTAGTTTTTTTAAAGTTGGCTTAACAATACCATTAACTACAGAATGACTCTAGACTGTCTGTATTTGTATCTAACTTGACCAATGCTCAGCAAGCAGGAGAGCAATCCTATGCACTTAACAGCCCTTTTAATTCCCTCCTTAGAGGAAATGGACAAAGATATCACCTCCAAAGAATTAGTTTATCAGTCAGGAGGAGATGCAGTCTCCATACACACTTTGGAGGGGAAAAAAAAAAAACCCTCAACAAACTAACACATTCTCTTTAACTACACTTGTTTCATTAAGACATCAGGCGCAACAAACACTCCTCACGTGTATCTATGCTTGTTGCTTTCTTCCTACAGAGGTCTTGAATTATGGGCTGTGTTTGATCTGAAGGAGCAGGAACCTGCAGCTGCGGTCAGTTACAAAGACTGTTTTCGTGTTTTAGATAGTGGCTGCATAATTTTTTTTACACTTTTCAGCTATGTGGAACTGGAGTCTCCACAGTGCACCCTAATTAATAAATGCCATGACCATTATGGTAGCCAGGCTGTCTTTGCCCGATCCCATGGTGCTTAATTTCAACAGTAGTTGGGAATTCAGCTGCTGTCAGAGGGAGAGCGAGCTCTCAGGTTAAAACGTTCTTTATTTACAATCCCCTTAGCCTGAGAAGCAGCACTGAAGGCAGAGACTCTGCGACTTAGAACTCCAACCTCAGTCATGTCCCCCACAACATTGGATAACGTTACTTACGTTTACATCTAACCTTCTTGACTTTTCCAGGAGACTTAAGTTGTATTTTAACTTTACAATAAATGTGGTACCTGTTAAGTCTTTTGCTAGGTCGGGATGGTTCATAAGGCAGTGACTTGCAAATTTCACACATTCAAGACGAATAGGTACATGGATATCATTAAACCTATTTAGAAACAAGACAATGCATTACAACAACAAAAATATCACTTCTATCAAAGCCATTAGTTTATCTAGCCATCTCAAATACCTCTGAAAATATTTTTTATGCTTCCCATGCACAGTTACATGCATGAAACATCTCTGATTTCACGGTATTAAGTAGACTGTCTTTAGCTTTAGGAAAAATGCCCATTTATTAATTCCTGTTCTGAATGTGAAGAGAAATGCCCTCTCCTGGTACACATGAAAAACTCCCAGGTAAACAACTATTTATTAGAAAGATGTCTGACATATTTTAACCACTTTTTCTGTAATGCTCCACATAATTAACCATGAACTATGTATCAGCAACTAAAAGTTTTATAATACTGCAATATTTGTCCCTTCATTAAACTGTTTGATAGACAGCAAACAAATGGACATCTAACACAGTACAAATTGCTTCTGAGATAGATCACTTCAATTTCTGTAAGATTTCCTTTTAAAAGGCTGAATTAGGTTTGATGCTTGAGAACCAATATTTTTTCATGTTTAATTTTGATAGAAGTAACTTTATAATAACACCATTGACGTAAAGACAGTTACAAACAACTCTCTGAAAAAGTTAACTACATTTTCGAGTTATCAAAATGTTTGGTTTTAAACAAATTAAAAATCAAATTTTAGAACATTAGTGCTCTTGCAATGCTTATTTATCAAATAAGAGGTTTAAAGAGCAACTATGTTGGTAAAAACCAGATATGTTCAAAACCAAGAGATTCTAAGAATGGTTCCTTTAATAACAGAGCTGTTATAACTTAGTTAAAATCCTCAAAAAAATTAAATAAGTGTATGTGATTCATAACTAGTTGAAAACAGTAATCATGAACAACAGATTGCACACATTCCCACTGCTTCACGTTGTTACACAATCAAGCGCTTTCCTTTCAGCCCAATTAGATCTGGTATTTCTCGATGATATGAAACATCTTTAAATAGTTATATACTTTCAAGCAAAAGGCCTTCCTTCAATTAAGTTTCCTGTAATTTTAAAAGTAGCATTTTCTCGAGGACTTTGGTTTTAATATGGCTGAATGCCAAATTATAAACTACTGTATTTTTAATAAATTTATAGAATTTATCCTCATTTACTCAAATCAAAAACATTTTCATCATTGTATGACACTTAAGTGTCTCCTGACTACAAGCTCCAACTATATTTTCTACCTCAAACTGGCAAAATATCTAAAAAAACAAAAGACTAAATGTGTTTACAGCATTGTAAATACTACATCTCTCTTTTAAGGCACTCTTACCATTGAAAAAAAATTGAAACAGGTATACAAATACTGTACACATAAAAGCCTCAAAACCAGTTCTAATATCACCTGATACTGCAAACGTCATTTGATGCTCTTTTAGAGTTAATCCATTACTGAATATTTTCACTTGTGAAGAAATTAAACTATTCCTTTTTCTTAACAATAGCAATGAAGGTAGTTAAATAAAAAAGAACTAAAAAGGGATGATTTGTAATTGTTCACTCTGCAGAATCACAGATGCAGCAGACGTATGTAAAATCCCTTTAGCATTATCTGCCAGATTACAGATACAGCAGCAGGAGGCAATTCACACTTAGCTGTGGCACTTTAAAAAAAATAAAAGTTGAATTATACTTCATTGAATGTTTTTCCTCCTCCTAGAAGGGAACTAAAGCAGCATATACCTCCCCAGGTAGCACTGCCAAAGTGGTTTGTTTTGAGATGCCAACTCTGAATCCTTCGCCCCAAACATTTTTGCTAGAAGTTTTACGACCTGCAGGCGCTCTTCGTTGTCATTGCTCTGTAAAGTGAACACATTGTTTTTAATTAAGAAAAAACCCCAAACAACAAAAGCCAGTTCTGCTTTGCACAGCTTTCACAGCAATACGCTTACACACCTCCAGAAGTATCATCATACAGATTAATAGACTTCTCTTGTATACAAATGCGTATCTCAAGACAAAAAAACTTCAGAATTATTAGGAGAAGACAAAATAATAAAGGCAGTGGGAAACAAAAGGAGACAAAAAGTAACGTGAGCAGTCTGATGAAAAATACACAGATATATAAATCTTTGTAACTCTTATTTACAGCTAACTGATCCTGTTAGGGAATCTGGTATGTGCCTGTGCACACTTACAAAAACTCAAGCCCAACACAAAACCCACAGAACTCATGGTACATTTGTCTGCACAGAAAGGTTAACAGTGCTCTAAAATAGAGTGTTTAATTACAAATACTTAGCTAAAAAGCAAAAAGTAGTTTTCGGAAAGGAAGTTTTCAGAGAACATCAGATTCAGCACCCAAGATACGAGATGTACAGGAACTGGCCCTGTATTTAAGCCTATATTTAAAAATGCTGAGTTACAACATACACTCTTCTTTCATATTCAGAATTAGCACTAACGGAGATAACGCAAGGCCTTCTCTCCAGTACATTTTTATCATCACTGGTTTGCATTACACTTGTTTAATACAACACACAGCATTTGAAGCTCAATATACACTTTGGAAATGTGAGCTAAAATCTGTGCAATTAGCAAGTACTTACTCTTCACCATTTTTTTCCTTTGGCTTATTAAAGAAAATAACTGACTGCAACACTTCTTTGAAAAGAGAGTAGCTAAAATTAGTTTATATTAACTAGATATTATTCACTCCTTACGATGTCAGTCTTCTCTCTGGTAATAAAGAGAAGGGCTGTTTAAAATACTATTCAACCACCTTTGACATTTTTATGAGTTCAACATCACCTTCTGAATGTGAACAAGAAATAAGAGCACAATGTAGGTGTCAGAGTTCTCCAATACGACACCACAGTCTTAAAGACCAACTATTTCTCCTAACTCAATACCATAAATAGGCTGCAAAGTTTGCCAGTATCCTTTTAATTCAGCTTCTTACAACAGCAAAAGCATTTGTAAAATCCTTAAAGTAGCAGAGCAATAGAAATCAAAGATGAAGAAGTCTCTAACACTGATACATTACTGCACTACAAAAGACTATACTTCTTCCAAATGCACTTTAGTATTCAGTATTAGCAGCATTAATAGTAAACCTATTAATACAATTGTCTGCATTTGACTAGTTTTCCAATTAAAATCCAGGCACTTCTACAACCTCCTCCTCTTAATCTGCAATAAACGGTATCTTTCCCTGATGAATTTCAACTTGTAAGTGTCCATTACATTACAAATTCTTATTCTGTGCCCTCATGGTTAAGATTATTTTTTTTGTAGCCTACACAAGTCCAATCTCCATTACTCACATCCCATCCACTCCTCCTTAAACCAGCAAAATATTAAAGACATTAAGCAGCTCTGAATTTCTCTAAGTAACCAACAATGATCCAGAGCAAGACACCCCGAAGAGTGGAGGGGCTGGGAGTACACTAAGCATTCAACTGCTTAATTACACAGCCAGAAATACAGAAAAAAGAAGAAGGGCATTAAAAAACCCCCACAACTAAGATATCCTTAATGAATTATCCAAAGAAGCAGCTTTCACTGTATGAGCCACTAATCCAATTATAAGAACCTCCACTCATGTTTGTAGTCCTGTTTGTAGAAACAATGAGTATTTCTGATTATGGATCAAGAGTACTTGGTACTTTCTAAATTTGTACCCAGATGTTGGTCTCCTTAAAAAATTCTTATATAAGCTCATAAAGGCAATAAAAAAACCCTAATCTGTGCTGCTTAAAGGAATGCATCACTGCTACAGTCTCTCTCCTTTATTCTACTTGAATCTCTACTTTTTCTAAGGGAAAAAAATTAGTATTAAATTCTCCAAAAACCTTAATCCTTCTCCATTGTGACACATTGTACACATCTCCATTGTGTATCTGAGAAGTCACATCCTTTACCTCTCCTCTTCAGTATAATCCAGCACTCCTTACGTTTAATAGTGTTCCATAATGACTTGTCAATAAAAACTGACACTGAACACTGATATTTTTGGTTCCCCACGCGTGCTCCCAGCACACAGGCAGCTGCTCTTTGCCTTGATATCAGGGTCTGTCACTAACGACAGCTGAAGTTGGTCACATTATCACAGCACCAATGATCTGGGGGGATCTGGGTGCAGAAGCAGACACATGACCTGAAACTTGCCAAAAATTTCAACCACTATGTCCAGGAAGAAAGGCAGCTCTACAATAGTAAAAGTACACACTTATCTTTATTTTACTCATTACATCAAATTATCTTAGTAGGATGGTAAAATAAAGACCTTAAAACACATAAGGGTTGTTTCCCAAATACTCTCTTCATGGGCTTTTCATTCTCCTGAACATGAAAATGGTATTCACTTTCAGTAAAACCACTTTCTAAAAATCAAATACTAAATTCAAATATTCAAATTCAGTTTCCTTTACAAGCTTGACCCACACAACAACACATTCTTACCTTCATTCTCTCCTGCACCAGTAATGCTCCTGTGTCAGTGCTAGATCTAAACATACCACCTTAAAATGCCAAGATCAGGCACAAAGGACTGACCCTCATAGAAGATGTTAAGTTAAATGAGTTTCAGTGTGCATTCTCCTGCTAATCCCCCAGACTCCTCCTTACTTCTACCAGTAAGAAGCAACCACAATTTAGTATAGCTCTCAGAGTGATAGTTAAACAACAATCCTTTTCTGCCACATGAGAACATAGGAGCTTTTCTTTACAAAAATCTATGAAAGTGTGGTTGGCTGACCACTGCCAAAAGCCAAACACCCACCCCGTCTCGCCTTCACTCTCCTCTCCTGTACAGAGAGGGGAAGGGGAGAAAATAGAAGGAAGGTTAAAAGGCTCGTGGATCAAGACAACAACAGTTTAATAGGTAAAGAAAAAGCTGTGTGCACAAGTAAAGCAAAAAGAGAAATTCATTCCCTACTCCCCATTGGCAGGCAGGCGTCCCGCCGGTTCCTGGAAAGCATCGTCTCAGCATGCATTGGGAAGACAAACACTGTGAGCACAAACACCACCCCCCTTCCTCATTCTTTCCCTGAGCTTTTATTGCTGAGCATGTGTCCCCTCTCAGTCTCCTGCCCTGCCTTAGCCTATCCATGGTGGGGGAAGAAAGCCTTTCCCTGTGCAGGCACTGTTCAGCAACAGCCAAAACCTTAGTGTGCCATCAACACTGCTTTAGCCACAAATGTAAACTATAGCACTGTACGGGCTGCTACCAAAAAACCCAACCAAAAAAAACCCCAGTCCATCTGACTGAGACCCAAAAGGATAACCAGTTTGTCCACTTCTGTCTGGTACGTACCATGGCACAGCACACACCTGACTGCATTTCAATTCTCTTCAAACACACTTAAAAGATTCCTGGGGTAGATAGAACAGAGTAAAGCACACAAAAGCTGCACATTTCAGTGAATACCAGTTACTGCCAGCAACCTTTAATTCTTCATCCAAATCAACAAGTACAATTCTCACAGCAGTTAAAATTACCTGGCATCGTGACCAAATCATATGGTCACTGGTTGCACCAAAATGGCAAGGTGCTTGAACACTAGGTGGCCACATTGTTTAGATCCAAAAGAATAAATATGCACAAGAGTGTTACTGAGCTCTAACAAGCTCCATACTGACAGGTTCATAACCCCTCCACACATGGTTATAAATTATTTGGTCATTGACAGGAAAGCCCTAGGATTTTTCCCACACTCATAGAGAGCCTAGATCTTCTGTAAGGTCCTGATCCCATGAAGATAAACCAAGAAGCTTTCTGCCATGAAGAGTTCAAAAGTAGTTCAGGGAGATGGAGAGCAAGAGATTTGGATCCTGTCACAAAGGGCCACAGCACACAGACATTTGTTCCTGTCCTCAAACTCCCATCAGCCACAGAGGCTGAGAACAAGGCAGTGGAGATTGCTCAGTGAAAGCTCACCTGGTTGGGGAAAAAACCACCACCACTTCATTATCAAAACATACGATAAAACATTTAGAAGCAAAGAAATAAGATATTACAGAGAAATTCTGGTTCATGTACAGAAAAGTTGCTGACACCAGGAAGAATCAGTTTAAATCAACAGGATCACCATCAGAGAAATACCCAAAACACCCATCACTGTGAGACCAAGCATCCTAATGCCAGCATGAAACATGGGACAAATCCCTGAAAGAGCAAGTCAAGAATACTGAGAGCTTTTGGTGTCCTCCAAGAACAGATGATGGTTCTCAAAACTGGAACAATCAAGATCAAGAGTGTCCTTTTACACCTTTTTTTCTTTCTCCTTCACTCTAACTAGAAGTTATGGAAAGGAGCATGACAGCCCTTGCAATCATGAAACAGGAGTACATTCAGCAGACTGCACAGGGTCCAGCCTGTCCTCAGACAGAACTCGGTAGTTCTCACAAGCCCAGGCAGAACGCAGACTCCCCATAAGCCAAGCACATGCATAGAAGAAGCCGGGACATGACTGCCCACTAAGCAAAGTTACAGTTCTGTGTAGATTGTTAGCTGGAGTGGTCAGCAGTTGGAGATACTGGGCATACAAACTGCTGACAATGGAGTACTGTTGAAATTTAATCAGCTTCCAGCAAAGCAGGACTGAGATCCAATTTCTGCAATGTTGTGCGAATTCTAAAAAATTGCCGAGTTGTCTCTTTTTGAGGATTGTGTAGCGATGGACAGCAAAGACCCTTCTTAAGCAGTAACGGATATGTTCAGCATTACTGAAGCATGTATTCTAAGACAGAATGATAGTTTTTCCAATATGGCCACTGTAACACCATGCACTGTATTTTATCTACAAATCTTTACATTAGAAATAAGTTGTTCAGCAATCTCACCCAGTGAATCACCAGACCTTGCATCCAAGTAAGCAGAACCAAAACGTGCCATTTACTCCATACCAGAGATGTACTTTTAAGCTCTCTTATGCAGAAATGACCAGAGGACAGCACCAAAATGGCATACAGATAATGTCCATTGGCACCTGATAACACAAGACTCTGCCACACAAGACAACCAGGGGTCATCAATTCAGATAAGCCAGACTAAAAAGAGTCCAGAAGACTTGATATAGCCCAGCATGTCTACAAACAGCACCACACTTCCGCATTCTCCCAGAGAAGTGTGCGCCAGTCCTGCAGCATGGCCTTAAAACTCCTGAAAAGCTATCAAAACTCAGCACGCCTTCCTCCCTTGTCCAAAAGGCAACAGGTTATCTAAAAATGATCTGTCCCCCGAAGATTTACAGAACAACTCTAATCCACTCCATCCAAAGATGTTACTGGCTGATAACGGTTCGCATCAGCCCGCTAAGCTCCAGAAATGAATGATGTTAAAAATAAGAGCAAGGTGACTGATGTGACACTTAAGTCTCTGGCACCTACTGACCTTGGATAAAGTACAGCAGAACACCTCCCAGCAGTGCCAAACAAGAAAATGGAGGAATGCGGGCACAGAATCGAAGAGGCAGCACAGAAATACTTCTCCATCAGCATCCATATCTCTGTATACTCAGCTCAGTATTTCATGTTGCTCCAGAGGACATCATGGTGGTGGTGCACATCTCAGCCTCAGCAATGTTAATCCAAATTAACTGACAGGAATGAACATCTTGCTTTGGGTGAAGGAAGCAGAGCTGGAAAGACTACCCTCAGTGTAAACAGACTCATCCTATTCACCAAACAAGATCCATCAGTAATGATGAATTCTTCTCTTTAAGCACTCAGTAACAGTAAGCAAAGCACATATATCATTAGAACGTACAAGTGGAGTTTCTCAAGGAAATTCCTTTAAAGTTTTTAAACCATATTATCATTCTTCCAAGAATTCCGGTATTCTCTTGTTTGGCTATTAATTTCCCACTCTGTTGCCAAATGACATCCCAAAAAAGTGAAGAATTATTTTTTCAGGTTGTCAGTAATCAAGTTTCATAATATTTGCCTTTGGAAATCCCACATCACATCACTTTTCTTATATGGGAGGCCTAATTGTTATTTCCCAATTTATTTTGAAGTCCTACATCCTACGGAGCTGACCTTCATTGTTCTTGAGGTTTTGACATGATAAGACCAGTAAAAAAGATAAAAATTAAACTGTTTAACATCTGTGTTAAAGTAAACATCTACCACTCTCTACTGGCAGAAAGCTGTTTTAGACAATGTCAAAAGAATTTTAGAAGAACAGCTCTTGAATAAAATGGTTCAAACTGCAGCAAAACACAATATGCTTTAAGAAACTGATTTATTTGCTTTACATTAAATTTCACTGAAATTATCAAAACTACTGGGTGCTGTTCAAATTCATGCAGAACTTGTCAAATTTACACCTGAAAATATTTTTTTAAAGCATCGCTTTAAGTGAGCCAGAACACTCGGTGTCTTGCTCAGAGGAAGTCTACCATGAGTCTACTCCATCTGGCCAATTGTATTCTTTTACTCACTGCTTTTGAAGCCAATTACAAAGAAAATGAACATCTTCAAAAACACAGACACCAATTACCTAATTTATCTTTGAAAAGCACAGATCATATGTCCACTTCCATGTGTTCAAGGCATGCACGATGAGATCATTCTGACACAGCCTGACTCCTCAAAACTGACAACGCAACAGTTGAGATTGCCACAGCTTTCCTTCTCCATCCTCTGCATTAAGAGGTGATACAAGCCTCTTTAGGTGCAAAGCTGCTGTAGAAGACCTTGGCATACAGTAACTGTCCCACTGCCCCATAAGCATTATTTGAGTACTTGCCCCTAGAATGTGACCTCTACTATCACACCTGTATATTCAAGAGCTGTACCAGACAACATAAAAAATAGGCATCCTTGTAAAATTATGCATCTGACCGAAATACAATCTAAAAATTCTACTTAAATACCCAGTAGAGAGCCCACGGTGAGTGAGCTCAGAAGACAAGGCTCTTAAACTGTAGCATGGATAAAGACACAATACTACGTACCAAATCCAGAAAAGCCAAAATCATCTAAGTCAAGCTCTGAATGATATGCAGAGCTCAGTGAAGTTCATGGTTATTGTATCATTAACTTTAATTGACCTTTATTCAAAAAGACATCTACTCACTTCCATATTTCAATATGGACTACCAAGCATACTTTTCTCCTTTATCACCCTAAGGCTTTATCAAGTTGACAGGGATATTCCTGTCCAGGTACTTTTCATTCAAAGCAGCAAAACACAAGCTGCCTTCTACCATAACCACTCTGAGTTTCATTGAAATCACACTCTTAACACACTAACATACTTATTTACCCAGGCATGAATTAAAAATGCTTGATGCTAGCTGCTGCTTAGAATAAAGCCACAGCTGTTGTTGTAAGGTATTTAATCATAGCTACCAGGTCTGCATAAGGACAAACTTGAGTAGATCTCAGAGAAACCATAGGCTGACCATATTTCACTAATATTTCAGAATGTTCATCATAACAATACCCTTTTAGCCACAGAAAGATCTTAAAGATCTTAAAGACCTCTCAACTTATTTAGAATCACAGAACAGTTTGAGTTGGAAGGGACTTTAAAGCTCATCCAGTCCAACCCCGTCATGGGCAGGGACACCTCCCACCAGACCAGGTTGCCCAAAGCCCTGTCCAGCCTGGCCTTGAACACCTCTAAGGAGAGGGCATCCACAACTTCCCTGGGCAACCTGTGCCAATGCTTCAGGATTTAAACCAGGATTACCCCATTTCAAATAGAGGTTTTTTTGTTTTTTTTTTTCCCGTAAAATATAGATCAAACTACAGTTGACACTCAATAGGACAAAACAGGTATCTATTATTTGTCCTTATAACTTAAAGCATCAAAAACACACACCTGAAGCAACAAAATTATTCAAATAGAAGCTGTTCCATGCCCTCGGAATAGCTACAAACTGTACCGAGTTCAAAGAGACATCAAGGAATAAGAGCAGTAAGAACGTAACTAATTATCAAAATGTAAATGTCTATTGGAAACATTGTTAAACTCCATCCTACAAACCTCAAATGTGAGCCACCTTACCCTCAAGAGTTCAGACCACCAGGAGAAAACTACACTAAGGATGAAGGCAATGAAAATCTTGATCTGGTAACATTGTCCCTGCTCACTGCAGGGGGGTTGGACTGAATGATCTTTAAGGTCTCTTCCAACCCAGTGCATTCTGTGATTCTATGAAAAGCAACAAAATGCATGTTCATAATCTAAAAAATTAAATGCACTAAACAAAGAACAGAAATGCAGACATGAAAAAAGGCATCATAAATAAGAGGTACAAAGAAAACATGGAAATGTTTAGGGCTGAAATCACCCAGTTGAAACCAGAAGTTTTGGCGGGGGTGGAGGGGAGATTGGTTGACAGCATTGGGCTGCTAAACTTGCTGATTCCAATGGTAAAACAGGATACATGGAAAAAAACTCAGTGAAATACTAGAGTCAATGAAGGAGCAGGAAGACCATTCAAGAACCTTAATTTCTAAATGCACCTAAAGCTGGAAAGGTTACTGCAATTAAGGCTATGAAAAAAAAGGATATGGCAGCAGTAAAGATTCAAAATATTTAATAAGAGCTGCAGCAGTACTGTTTATAATGGAGTGCAAATCATAATTGTTCACCATCTGTAAGAACAGGAATTAAAGGCTGAAAAGGGTCTACTTTAAGACATCAAGCAGTAAACCAAAGCCCACTTCTTTAGGAAATGGGAATGGAAAAGATATAACCATTTAAAACAACTAATCCCAACAAACGTATTGTGTCTACCTAGCAACATTAGTGAAAAAATAACAGGCATGAACAAGCCACTATAATAAATATTACAATGAGCCAAAGGGTCTACAAATCTAAAAATCTGTCCTCAATAATAAAAACACATTAAAATTTGTAAGTTGCCCACTGCACATTAGCCCTCAAATTTAGTAACACAAACTTGGTAATACAAAACTAATAACATTCCCCACTTCCACAGAAACAAATAGAATAAAAGTAGTGCAGAATAAAGTATCAGCTGTTATACAGAATTTCTCCAAGTGATAGAGATACTCTGAAATAGAAAAGTACCTATTAAACTAGATAGCTAGCACTATCTATCCTTCAGACGTAAGAAATAAGCCTGAAAAATCATAAAAGTCATTGTAGCATTGACTACAATTTATAGCCCAGTGCTCTGTTTCTACCTGTCACAGGCCCTCAGTTTCAACAAAACCATCATCACATCAGTTTCCACTACCATGGACCCCAACTTCTCCTGACAAAAGCCACTGTTCTGAACAAATGTAGTTCCTCTGCACAAGTACTTTTAACATATTAAATGTCTTCACAGTAAACACAAGAAACAAAACAGATCACATTCTGAAGTCACACACAAAAAAAATCAAGTTATTGCTTGAAAGATACAAGGGGAAAAAACCCAACAAAAAACCCCAGACAACCAAAACCAAACAAAGAATCACCAACCAAAACTCAAACACTGGCACATATTCACTGTAGGTTAATGCACTCAAAGTTAAAATTACCATTTTTGAGGACTTTTACGATTTTTCCTTTATATCTAAAACATCATCTGTGCATTCAGTGAGTATTAGTTTTACGTGCCAAATAATTTTATAAACTTGTCAGTAAAAAAATCCTATTAGTAGTCAAAGCACACATTTCAAATATATAGAAAGCAGAAGAAATGTTTACCTTAAGTTTGAATTCAAGCTGTGGTAGAACAGAAAGCAAGAGGTGGCTGTCAATATTGTACAACTCCAGAATCAGGTCGAAGACGTGCTCTGACAGGTCACTAATCGACGTTTTACCAAGCATGAGGACCTGATTGAAGAACTGGAAAATAAAACAGAGAATAGCTCAATAACAAGAGTATATATACACTCTTCTAAATCCTATTCTTGTCTACCACTAAATCTACCTGACATTCTAACATTTAGTCAAAACAAGGCTGAAACAACTGCCTAATTACTACAGTGTGCAGTTGACAGGCTAAAGAGCTGCCTGTAAAAGTGTCAGAATTAATAACTGACTTGCAGAATTTTTATTTACAAGCAGCACAATGCAGCTGTAAAGCAATTATTCTTTCTTGGTAAACCTGACAGGTTTGATGGGAACTTCACAATTCTCATTAAAGAAAACACTTTCTAATATCAAATATTAATTCTACACTACTTTCAACTATAGCCTTTCATAATAGATGGGTAAGAAGCAACTAAATAGCAGTAAACCAACACCTACTTGTAAGGGGGAGGACACAGTTTGCAAAATTTTTCTTCTCTTTGGGTTAAAAGAATACAGAAATGTGGCTAAACAAACTATACTATTTACACCTGCCACTAAGAAAACAGAATGCACTTAACTGGCACTTCAGTTTCCTATTGTCAAACTTGGGACAGATGAGCATCGTGACCCTCTGTACCTGACAAGGTTAATCATATCAGTAAAGACACTAAAAATGTGAAAACTAGCACTTCTTAAGGTTACAAAGTGAACCCCAGAAGTGTTGCAGTAGAAAACATCAACAGTTTCTAGTAATAATGACTAGAAAATAGCAGATAAGTGCATTTCATTAGAAGTTAAAGACTTTTTAGAAAGTTTCCTTCTTCTGCATACAGTTGCCAGGAAGGAGCACGCTCCTGGTAAGGCAACCAAATCCCACTGTGTCTTCAACATATTTTAAGGAAGAAAGTAACTTTCAAAACAAAGCAGCCAGAGAGCACAATATTTCCCACTTGTGGAAAACCAAGAACAGAAGAATGCACGTACAGACCTTCCACAGGAGGAAGATTCCTATTGTATAGATTTCCTTAACACCCACAAAACATCACCCGGTTTGTAATCTAACCTTACAGATGAACAACATTAAAAACATGCTCCCACACAGCAATACTTTCCCAAACAACAGATTTGGCTAACAGGTTTGGAGTAAGAGTTTTCACTGAAGAATTTTTTTTTTAAATCTTAGATGGTAGCCTTTTTCCAAGTACCACAAGTGTTACAAGTCTGAAAGCAACAACAACAACAAAAAAAACCATCTTTTAAAAATTTCTATTTTTTTCAAGCTTCTGATGTTTTGGATAGCTGCCATGAGACCTGCTAAATCCTTAACTACTCAAAAACTGTAAGAACTTTTTCTACTGTGAAGCTTAATTTAGAGCACACTCCTGTCTGATCTCTACTTCCTCTCATCCCTCATCTTCTCTTACAAAGTCTACGATGTCTACACTCAAGTTGGCTACAAGCCTTATCCACTCACTGGTTTACTTCCTTGCAACAGCACTAAAATTCTGCTCTATCTTCACTTCTCCAAGCCTTTCAAAAGTTTCACCTCCTCACTAGCAAAAGAATTGTGCCACATCTCCTCCACAAGAACAAAGTGATGATGTATTTTTGCCAGAACAATACATTAAGTATATTTGGTCTTCCAGTCACATCAAGCATGGAAGTGCAAGGTGTCCCAAGACAGCAGAAAGTAAACTATCCATTGCATTTCAGAAACTAAAATTGTTACGGGCTTCGTAGTTTCTATATGGTAAAGAATTAGACTCAGAGAGGCAGGGTATGCAGTGCTTCATTAATACAAAAATTCTCTCAGAACCACGGAGTTTCTTAAAAGTTATTTTGCAGCCCTATTTGACTATATGCAATTCATTCTTTTTATAGTACAAGTCAGTTAAAAATATATTGATTTCCGTATTTGTTTGCAGTCTTCACTTACATTTGTAATGTATGGTTCAATTGCTTGTGCCGTCCTCTTTAGTAAAGCCTTTGCCAAATCATAGGCTTGCTTGTTTAAATTCTGTGAGGAAAAAAAAACAACAAAACAATTTCAGCACATGCACTGATCTTATAAACAGATATGAGAACTTAAAGCTACCACATACTAGAAAGTGTATTAAAGAAATAGCTTGTTCTTTTTCACACTTTCAGTAATAAAAATAATATAGTAAAACCAAACCCAGTCCAAACAGAACTATGTAGTCTCCACTGGTATTACTCAGATAATTCTTTCCTGGAAAGCTGAGGCTTACTTCTTACTTGCCTATTTAAGCCTGACACTCAGTAAAGATAGTTCCTGCATTTTACTGCTGCTCCTTACTAGCTTTCCAAAAAAAACCAAAAAACAAAACACAACCAAAAACCAAACAGGAAAGTGATATAAAGCAACATCAAGGCATTTGCAGGCACCACAAAACCAAGACTCTGAACAGGACTGTGGTAGAAAAGTACAATTCTGTCCTTGCGTCAAGCAGCACCTGTGAACCACCATCGCAGTCTCTCCATAGCATCTCCCAAAGACACCCTCAGTCTGTTTGACTGAGATAGCAAAGAAATTTAAAAAAAAAAAAAAAACAACCTAGAATTTCAGTGCATAAGCAAAAAGGAGTAAAGATTACAAAGTAACACAACTCTAATATAAAGAATAATTTAAAAATCGCCCACAACATTCTTATACCTCTGTTTATCTAATAGAGTTATTGCTCATGCATTGCATGCATTCCGCACCCTCCAGTTGCTTTCTCCTTTCTCTGAGTTCTAAATCACAATTATTTTTCAAAAATTTTCAGAAGAAAATGCAACTCGGCCCTTGTGACACCCACTGCAGACTTGACTAACTTATGGAAAAATGAAGAAAAAGTCTTCATTACAAGAAGATACATAGTCTTTTAACAGGCCAGATCTCTATAAAAATACAGTGCCCCCAGTTTTGATTAGTCTCTGCAACTTAAAAATACCCAGCATATTCCACTTACAAGACAACAGTATAAAGGGGCAGCTTGTGGTCTTTCAAGAACTCTATGAAACTACTACAAGCTTCTAGACAGCAGTGGGAACAGATTAACATTTTCTGTTAAAATTAAACAAAAGATGTCTTTGACTTCCCTACTGACAGAATTAAGTTAGGTAACTGAAGTCAAAAGAATATGAAGATTCATTCCTGAAGTATCTGTTTTACTCAGAGATACTTCAGGATAAAAATCTCAATTCTAGAAAGACAGCTGAATGCTTACACAAGACGGTAACATCTCCCCTTTTCTAGTCAAGATACAAGGGTCACCACTGGCGGTCTTTATAAAAATGTACAGCTGTTCTATGTCCCAGAATAGTGAAGGCTCTGAATGCTTGATTGCTCTTTATGGTTAACACAAAAAGAAAAACCAAACCCATAAACCATTTCCACCTGTAGCATTTGTTTTTCTGTTATTGAGCTAGAGTTATGATCATTCAGGAAGTAAAAGGCGCAAATAACTGTAACAAGGAACGCATGACGTGTAATTCCTGCTCTCATCCTTCTTGACTTTCACAGTTCGATGCCACCAAAACAGAGAAACTGCTTTCTTTCACCTGGGTAAAAGTGATGTGCAGATCACGAGCAAGATCTGATTTGCACAGAAAACAAGGCAGCACAGCAGAGTTCCACCAGGCAGATCAGTTTTGATTCACATTAATTCCAGTTTCACAGAATCACAGAATTATTGAGGCTGGAAAAGACCTCTGAGATCATCAAGTCCAGCCTATGCCCTATCTCTACCACATCAACTAGACCACAGCACTAAGTGCCACATCCAGCCTTCCCTTAAACACCTCCAGGGATAGTCACTCCACCACCTCCCTGGGCAGTCCATTCCAATGCCTGACCATCCTCTCTGTGAGAAGTGCTTTTTAATATCCAGCCTAAACCTTCCCTGGCGCAGCTTCAGGCCATGCCCTCTCATCTTGTCACAAGTTGCCTGGGAGAAGAGCCCGAACTCCACCTGACTACAACATCCCTTCAGGTAGTAGTAGAGAGTGATAAGGTCCCCCCTGAGTCTCCTCTTCTCCAAGCTGAGCAACCCCAGCCCCCTCACTCTCTCATTCTAAGACATTAAGCCACTAAAGGCCAGGCAAAAGATCTCCTAACGCCTGAATGTTTGCTGAGATAAATGCTAGAAGTAGCTATTTGCAACCCTGATTAATGTATTCACATTGCATTTAATTCTATCTAAAAAAGCTGCAAAGAGAGGAAAAAACCAGTCTAGATCACAAGTGGTTAAGGAAAGTTTACTATATTTTTTCACGCCTCACACACTTGATTTAATTGTGTCGATAGCCAGGGCCCTTAAAATGACCAAACAGGTCAAACTTTCTGAAAACAACAGTGCCAAAAAAAAAAAAAAGGTCTTAAAAACAAACAAGTTTTCTTCTCCCTTTTCCAGCTTCAGGACAAAAGTAGAAACTAGAAAAAGCAGCATTGCCTTAGTTGAAATGACAACAGGAGCAACCCAGGCCATGACCAAACAGGTCCAAAGATCTTTTTACAAAATGTCAAACCTATCTTTTTAACTAATTTAATAGCCATAAAGATACCTTAAACTTCACCTATGGAGACATTTTATAAGGTAATACCTAATTTAAAAAATTTCTTCTCTGTGTTTATCTAAACACTTCTATCATTATCCTCTCTTCAATCTTTTTATATATTTAGAAAAAAAATGACCTGTATTTCAGGACCTTTTAATGACTGAAAGCCCTCCCTGGTGAGGACAATCATCCTCATCAGGATGCCTCTAAGAGCACATAAGCAGCCAGTAGGGATAGGCTTTTGAGAGTCCCGAATTGGGCAGTAACTACAGCCATCAGCTGGCAACACTGTTTAAAGTAATCATCAGTAATTACTACATTCTGAAGGAAAAAGCAGAAATAAGTATTGATTGATAAGGACAAGCCAAAGAAGAACACATGAAAAGGCAGAAGACAGATCTTCTGCAAGATGATCGAGAAGTTACATTTGGCATCTAAACCAGACTTACAGGATGCCACAGACCTTTTCCTCAATAAAACCCTCCAGTTTTCTTTCAGAAAAGAATGCTATTAAACAGATGACTTTTTTAATGCTTAGAAGGCCTTCAGCAATAATATTTGAAGACAGACCATCTTCATCAACCATAAGTTCTCTCCTCTGTCTCAATTCCTACCATGATTTTGATGTGTATACTGTGAGCATTTCAAGCTTTTTAGGTTTCTGGAAGATGTTAGGAGTCCTGCCAACTCATTTTTCACATTCTCTAGAATGGCTGACAAACTTCTACTGCAGACACAAGCAGCAGTGGCAGCTCCTCCGACAGCACAGCACAGACATTTTTGTGTCTACATAGACAACGCTCTCCAGAACAGTTTGCCACAGAGCCGAAAATCAGTTGTACTGCTACAGTGGGGTTGGCAGGGATGGAAATACATACACACCGATTTTTTTCAGTTACTTTTTCTAGTTGCCTCTCAATATTCAATTTAACACAGCTCAAAGAAATTAAAAGTGAAATAATTTTCACTCATCCTTTAAAACAAACAAACCACCACAAAACACAAAACCAGCCACAAACCAAACGCATGTCCCTTATTTTTTTCTTCAAAAAGGGTGACTACCTAGCATCAATCCAGTCCTTAATTTTATAACTTTAGGAGTAAAAACAAATGGTAAGTCTGCATCTAGAGCAAATATTCTCAAAAAATGTTACATTTTAACATATTATTTTGTTGGCCTTTGAAAAAGGTCTTCGATTTTACTCTTATCATCAATGGCATGGCAGCAGAATTTGTATCCAAGACCACTTGGCAAAATGGTCTTGACAGATTCTCCAGTTCTGCTGGGAGAAGGAAAAGGGTTTTTAAGGATGGGTGACAAAGAAAAAGCTCAACTGAAGTGTTGCCAAGGTAGATAACACTAATTATTAAGCACGTTCCTGGTAGAGACAGTTAGGAATTTAACTGTCAAGATCACTTTTTGAAAAAGATAAGCACGTAAAGCATGTGGGATGCGCAATGTGGCATTCCTTGTAGTACTTCTGAGGCTGAAAATGGATCACTCTGGCAAACACTCAAGGAAATAAAGTACTATTTGCCTTCTAACACACTGCACAAGCGAAGTTATTTACAGGTGCTGCCATGAATGCTTTGTAATCTAAAAAGACAATTTAAAGGGAAAACTATTAACATTTCTTGCCTTTTCATATTGACTACTTCTCCCTTGCTTCTGGTCTTTTCTGGGTTTAGTTCACTATTTATTTAATTCCCTCTTAACATATCGAAAGAATTTCAGTAGACTTCATAGAAAAGAAGAAAATAGAAGCCACACAAGGAAGAAAAAAAAAAAATCAAAGAAATTAAGAGTTCAACACATGGTCAGACAAGTTAAGTTTACTGTTCTATTGAATTACCTCAAGTAAGCCTGTGCATACTTTAAGATGCCTGTTTTGAGATATTAGCATCAGCCACTTTCATTCAGGTTTCCATCAGTACGGCTTTTATTCTGGCCAAGTGCGAAGGATGACAAACTGAAGTGAGCCAGAGCAGCTTACACGACGTCAGGGACTACTAACAATGGTAGACTGATGTTTGATAGCACATCACGTTATGCCTGACTTTTTCTCACCGTTCTGCCAGCACTATTACTTATTAGCCTTACTACTCAGGACTGCACACTGTATCTGCAATTGTCTTGGGAAAAATATTTACCTTGATTTTAAGGGGTAACAGCACTGAATTAACCGAGCTGATTGAACTTTCTGTTCCCAACACACACAGAGATGTCTCCTTTGATAAATTACTCAGATTAAGCTCCTCAGGTCTTCAACCTAGCGTTACTCAACACAACTGTTCATACACCAAGCCATGCTAGCTGTACCGCTATTTTCTAGAACACAGTCACGCACAGGAGCACTCCACATCCTCTCATGTGCACACCCTTCCTTCTGGCTGTACTAAAAATACACAGCTTGCCTGTTTCACTTGCTACAAACACCGTTGTTGTATCTACAATAATCTCTCTCTGCCTGATCATTTCCAAACCTGAGCTAGGAACAAATCTATGCTCCTTCTACTCCATCAAACATACTCTTTTGGGCCTCAAGGAATGCAGATAGATAAGGATTCACTGCTCATCATTATACCAACACCTGCCATTATGCCAACTTTGGTGGCCAGTCTGATTTTTTAGTTCCCCTTTTCCACAGTCAATACAGCTTAATGGCTATGTCAGCTAAGACAGATGTAATTTATGGTGAACCTTATACTTAACCCCATTGCACTTTTGTGCTCAGTGGACACAAATGGAAAAATTCTCACTCTGAATTTATTATACCTTTCCAACGTGACATTAGTAGCCACAGAAAGTGGTTAGATGTGAGCTTTAAATCTTAAATAAGCACTACAAAGATATTAAAATGAAACAAAAATACTAGAAGATTCTTTCTGTTAGTTGGAAAAAGGTTAAGAAATTAAAGGTAAAAGTACTCAGAATATGGTCTAAAGTTATAAAACTATTTCAGTTAAAAAGCAAGCTATAAACTAGCATCCTATCCAAAGGGCCAATATGATTAGAACAGAAGTAGAAGAAAATGCAAAAACTCAAATACCTTATCCTATTAAAATGCTCGGTCAGTAACTCTAAATCCACTATAAAACACAATTGTTTCAATGCTATAGCAAATCTAACAGGATGCAAAATTTTCAACTCAAAATCAGTTTATTAAACACTAATCAGAAAAACAGTACAGTCAAATCAAGTCGAACACAGGTGACACAATGAAACAGTAAATGCTTAACAAGTGAGAAAATACAAACAAATATTCTGCATAGTCTTGCTTTTGTTTCTTGTATTCCAAGGCTTTACCTAATAAATTTCCATTTGGTCCTGGTACAAAAGTACCTGACTCCTTGAAGGACACAGCTAAAACATTTCCAGTGGGAAAAAGTGACTGATCTATACTGAGCATTTAGTCTTTCATTGTCAACAGAAAAATTACTTATGTGCTGGTTATTTACTGAATTTCAGAGAGCATCTTATGAAAAGTCTACTGCGTTTCTTCAGGTACACTACTGTATTAAAAAAAATCCAAGTACAAAAATAAAGCATTCCAAAGCTGCAAAAATATCTCAGTTAATACCAACTTAACCTTACTGTAGTTTCTAGTAAGTAAAGTTAGCACTTTCCTTAACCCACTTCAGAAAAAAAGTTAAAGAGCTATCAGATGAAAGGCCAGAACTGTCCAAAACCCAGTCAAGCACACATTTCCTAGATAATTTCCCAGAATTCTTTTTTTGTCACACATAACTTATATGCCCACTTCTCCACTGCGGCCCAAGAGATTCCAGTAGGACCCAGCAAGTTTTCTGAACAAAGTCAGACTTCTTTGCTTTTTAAACATTTAAGTGTCACAACACATGCAAAGTTTGAAGTTTGTCCTCAGTTTGTCTGTTGTTTTTGCTTTGTGGTTGTTTGGTTTTTTTTTTAAGGGAGGAGGGAGTGTTGGGTTTTTGTTTGTTTACAAAACATCATTAAGGAAAGAGAGCCATGCCTTGGGCTCTTCAGGCACCAGAATTTCTGAACATAGCTGCATCAAAAATGTACCAGTGTGCTTTCAATCACACCAAGTCAACATTTCTGAAATATGACAGAACAAATTATAAATCAGCAGTCATAACTTCTTCCCTCACACTCAGGGCAACGCATTAGTTTGAGCTGTTAGCACAGCATTATACTACTAAAACCTTCCAAAGGCTGTATGTATCTTTTCTATTAAGTTGTACTGGTATTGACTGTATACAAAAAACTTGCGTATAAATTCATGTGACATTAAAGCTTCATATTATTATGACCACTGATACTTTTGTTTATGGCAAGTGAATCAAAGCAACGAAACTCTACTGAATTCTCTGGTTATTAAAAATTGTTTGCTAAAAAACACCCAAGCAACAGGAATACATTTACTACAGCCATTCACTCAATGAAATCTAAATATCTGAATACGTACAACCAGTCAACCACAATTACAAGAAATAAATAAGCCACTATTAAGTCTTACCTTATGTGCTGGCACTAGATTAACTAACACTGTATCCAAAAGTTCCTGCGACACAGTATCTCCCTCACAAATGATAGAGCTCATGAGATCAACCATGTGCATGTGTACTTTTTGGTTATGACCGTTGCTGAAATTAAAAACAAGATTTCTTAGTGTACTATTCATATAAAGTACAACTTCCACTCAGAGTATTCCTTATGGTGATGCTAAACAACAAGGAATATAATAATAAAGTCACAAGTTTTCTTAGAAGTCAAAATACTTAAGTTTCTCAGATGCATACACCACTTTCCAAAATATTCTTGAATCTTACGCCCTCTTCATTTACTACTGCAGTAAATGAGTAAGAGGTATCTGTCCCTACCACAAAAAGACAGCACATTAGAACATTCCTCCCCTTTACTCAACACTGGTGTGACTTCATCTGGAGAATTGGTTCCAGATCTGGACTTCCCAGCACAAGAGAGACAGACATCCCGGAGTCAGTCCAGCAAAGGGCCACAAGCACGAGTAAAGGACTGGAGCAGCTCTCACATAAGGAGAGGCTGAGGGAGCTGACATCTTTTTTTAGCCTCAAGAAGAGATGGCTTAGGGAGGAACTTACTGTTATGTTTAAATATCTGATGTCAGGAGTAAAGATGTCTCATCTTAGAGGTGTCCAGTGACAGGACAAGAGGTCATGGGCACAAGGTGAAATACAGGATATATTGTATAAACACAGGAAAGAGAAACTTTTTAAATGTAAGGGTGATTGAGCACTGGAAGGTTGCTCAGAGCTGATACGAAGTCTCCATTCCTGGAGATGCTCAAAACCCAACTGGCTACAGCCCTGGGCAATCTGCCCAGGCTGACTCTGGTTTGAGCAAGGGGAGCAGTCTAGACCATCTCCAGCAGCACCTGCCAGTGTCTGCTATTTTCTTTCTGACTTTTTAATAGCAATAATTCTCCAAATACCTTAGAATTGCATATTGGACCATTCAATTTCCAGAAGAGAATAAAATAAACACAGTAAAAGACAATCAAAGTAAGTTTTTTTGGGGAGAAAGAATATTTGCGCTGTGTGCTGTTTAATTAAAATAGGCAAAACTTACAACTTTTTACACTTCTCCCACTACCTTTGGTTAGACTGAATTACAAAACAAAGCTAGTTAACACTAAAAGTCACACAACAGACTGAACATGTAGGTTAGAAACATCTTACCATAATAATGCAATAATATATTATAATTGAGGGTCACAAGACTTACTTTATTACTGAAAATAGTGTTCTGTACAACTGTGTAAAAATCTCATTGCTGTCTTCTAATTCAAAGCATATGTTGTAAGACTTGACCCAAGCAATGTTCTGTGTTGAACAGGAAAAATTAAAAGGAGTAGTTAATACAAGATTAAGTTGAAGAGTTACATTTAACAGTTATTTTGAAATAAGTTATAAGCTTACCTCAAGCAAATAAAAATACCGATTAAACTGGGGGCTTTTTGTATCTTCTAAACCTTTAAGTTGCCTCGTTATGAACATAAATATATCCTGAAAAGAAAAAGTGATAGTTACTTAATGTAACTGCAATGAAACTTTCGAAACTAAAATAATTACCCTTTTTAATTAGTGGTATTATACATCATACAAAATACGCAGCAATGACAGACACACTATTTCACTGTCTAAAAGAAGATGATCTACAAAAACATCACAGAGAATGTCAAGGAGTAATTTTTAAATGCTCCATGGTTCTTTAAAGAGTTGAGGGTTTCTAATGAAGCAAAAGATGTTATTTTCCAACTAAAACCACTAAATTTGACAAACAGAGCTGCATTTAGTTGACATGCTGCAGAAGTAAAAAGACTACTCAGAAGGACAATGGATTTTACATTTTTACATGATAGTACAGTTGATTTCAACAGAAGAGGGGAAAAAAAGCAGTAAGCAAATGCATTTTTCCTAGGAGTATCATTACAGGTTTACAGTGTATTGTCTGCGCACATCATGTTACCAACGCAGATCACATCTCTTGCAAAAACCAATAAACCAAGTTTCTCCTGTTTCCTTTATCAACTTTTAGCACCAAAAGACTTTTTCAGAGTCTCACACAGAATAAATTCAAGCAGGTTATAATGAACAAACAGTCAATTATGAACAGGATGGAAATACACAGGAAATTGTCTTTTTAAAATTTTTTTTTTAACATTCTGATAATTAACAGCTGGAAATTCATTACTACTGTATTAAATCAAAAGATTTAGAAATACTATCACCAGTGTTTCAACTGTACCTATAATATTTCATCTAACAATCTAAGCATAAATCAAATAAATTCCAAAAGGTGTAAAGTTGCCATAATAAATATAAGAAAACTTTACGGTAAACCCTGAAAAACCTATCTTAGAAAGAGCCTAGAAAGCTTTTCCGTAACATTTTCAAAGGATCATTCCCCCTCCTGTCCTCCCAAGAATAACAAGATGGACAAAAGATGAGAGTGGGCTTCCTTTTTCCTAAGGCCACAACCACAAAATCCAGCTTCAGTCATTAAGCTGAACACTTACTGTGGTTCTGGGTAAAAGCACGAATTACATTATGTAAGACATCATCATCTCTTGGCAAAAAAACAGAGCAAGCACGGTGCTGCCAGTCTGAAGAATCCCCCCTCAAAAACAAGTGCCTGAACCACCAGCAGTCCATCAGCCCACCCAAAATGAGTTCCATCCTCTGAAAACCTCGTACAACAGAAGGCGCTGAGAAGTTTAGAAGACACAGTCTCAGTGAAGGATAAGATTCAATTAAAGAAGAAAGGGAGCACCCAAGAGAATGACCAATGCCAAATATAAAAACTACTTCATCTTAGAACTCACGCCCTAGGTATAATTATTCTGTTATGCTTTAGTTGTACAGATGAACCTCAATCAGTTCATTTAATAAAGTATCTTCAGTTCTTATCCCACAGCTCAGGATACAACACTTATTTACAGAATGCAATTCAAAGACCTATCAAGATCAAAACTAATTTTCCTAATTTTTATAAAGAATACATCACTGTATTGTATATTACTACATACATTAATGAATAGCATAATGTACAATATGTCTAGCACCTGAGTGCTTCACAAATAATAATGGCATCATTCAAAAAAGTAATAGTTTACTCCTCATTTTATTTATTTATTCCTATTCCTGTTTTAAAGGAAGAAAGACAGACTAAACTCAAAAGTAATAACTGGTTTTTAATAACCCAGTGTTCTTTCCTTTTTTGAGCATACAGAATATACAATTTGAACAGGAATTTATAAACATAAAACAGTGTTAAACAAAATTTGGCTGCAGCAAAGAAACTGCAACACTTCCGCAAATTGGTCAATACAGTTTCACATCAGACTCCATAAAGCAAGCCTGCATTAGAGCCCAGGCCCTAAAACCAGAAGTGCCTATACTTCCACTTTTGGAAGAACACTGAATTCTTTTTGTGCACTGCTGTCTTGATACCAACTGACCACATAACGGCTTCAGAAGGCATCAGAGCCATGGCTTTCACCACAGGATGCGTTCAGGGAGTTGAACTTCTACAACCAAATACACCCTTAAACATCTCCATTTCAGCCCAGTCAGGCAGACAGTCCATTTGTCCAAGTGGTTTTCTCTGACACTTACCAGTGATCAGAACATCTCCCCCAGAAAATTAGATTTGGGCTCTAAGCTTTAGACTGAGGACTTCAGTGATAAGTTTCCAGATGCCAGAAGAACAATGCTGCTCCAGCTCCGCTTTTAGCCTATTTGTGGCATTTTCCATCCCTATTGTCAAAGCTCCTTCAACATTCAGCAAGGAACGTAAGACTGATACTGAGGATACACATGAGAGGCGTACACCTGAAATTCTGATGCCTTCTCTCAGCATCTCACTTGCACAATGCATTAAGTTATAAAGAGATTTGAAGAGTCTGAAGCAAGAGCACAACTTAAGATTTAAGGTTTCCCTCTCAAGAAAATACCCTTTTCAGTACTTCCTTTGGCCATCTTGAACTTCGGTGCTAAACATACTAGAAGAGACTCAAAGCTGCAGCATGAATATGATACTAAATACTGGGCAAAAATAGCGCCAAGTTATAACCAAAGAGGAAACATCCTTCCTCTTGCCTTTTTGGCAGAAAGTGGAGGGAACTCTTCAACATTTGTATCAGAATTTGTCCTGCAACTCCAAAAGCTGTGTTCAGCAGAAATGGGTTTGCAAAAACCCACCTCAAGAGTCCCAGGCAAAGGCCTCTATTGTTTGTCCTTTATTTCTCAAAACGTGTTTAGAAGTCTGCACCAAGAAACTGAATTCTGAGATCTGCACGTGTTACAGAAGTGAATGCTGACAGTGGGAGCTCCCAGTCTGTTCCGAGCTCTATCCAAGTAGTAGTATTATGCTTACACTGCAAGTATGAGATCAGTAATGTAAACCTTCCAATATTATATATTATAAAATTTGAAGCTTAGCAGCATTTGATAGATCAAATTCTTCAAGGAAGAATATTATCATTTGTTAGCCCAATGCAGAAAAAGAGAGAAAAAACCTTTTAAGACTAACAAGCAAAGGAAAACATATGTATAAAACTGAAGTAGAAATCAGGACACCTCAAAGCCAGACTTAAATATAACACAACAGAAAGCTCATGTTTGTCTCCATTTGAAGATGGTGTAACCAGTAAGGAAGGTAGACAGTATGTAATCAGAGGTGCAACAATTCAAAATTAAGACAATACAGCTAACAGAAATCCCTAAGTATCTCTGCAGTATGTCTGGCAAGAGAAGAAGGTACTATGGTTGAAAATGCACTGCTTGTCCTGCTTATGAAGCACTTCCAGTGCAACCACTAGATCAGCAGCTGAGAGTTTTCTTCCACTGTAACACATGTATCTTCCACCACAACCACCTTTTTATCCGACTGTGAAAGAAAAATATACCAATACACACCACAAAAAAGCCCCCCCCCGCACACTGAAATCAAGGAAACAAAAAAGTATTCATTTTTCAGTGTCATTTTCCCCTGCAAGACTTTCTATAAGACTTGGTTCATCACTTTAGATTCAGACTGTGTAAAGGAAGTAGTTTGATTTTGAGTTCAAAAGAAAGTTAGATTTCTATTTAAAAAAAAAAGTCAAAAAGCAAAAGTCAAAACTTATCTAAAATTATTTTTTTCCTGAAACAAATGGGGCAGATGCATACAGACTTTTCAAACCTGGCATTTCTCTATCAACCATCTCCATCTAGTGGGATCAGTGATGTTTGTAATTGCAGAATTTCCCCAATTCACATCAGAAATAATCATTCTCTGTTCAATAATACTTTTTCTTTGTTTCAATAGAGCCTTTATCTACAAAAATACAGTAATCATCTCTTGGTAGTTTAATTTAAAACAGCAGGGGTATTTTCCCAATTGAATGAATTAGCTATCTTGCAAGAGGTTATGATAAAAGCTATAGATATATAAATATTTCAGAAGTAACAGACTACTATCTGCAAATCCCAGTGATAGTTCAATAAAATATTTATTTTCAATATAAATCCAAAATTCTACAAGGTATTGAAAGATTTACTACGTATCACTATCTGATGAACATTTGTCCTGACCAAATACCCCCATGCCAGAATCAAGTGAAAACTTTGGACTGCTTAGGAAGGAAAGGAGGAAAACAGAAGTTCTAAACAACCACATCAATAGTTTCACTTAAAAACTTCGTGTGAAAAAAAAAAGGAGATTAATGTAATTTACCTTTAGTTTATCTGGTGAAGTGTATGGAGCTTCAGGAGCATAAATTCTGAAAATATCAGCAAGACAACATGCTACCAACAAACGTACATCCTTATCAGGATGTTTGAGGAAAAAATCTGAAGCAAGATGTAAAGCAAGATTTAGGTAGAGCTCTTTTTCTTCTTCAGAGTCCTGGTCCATATCCATGAAAGTTTTCACAACCATCTAGAAAGAGAGATGGACATCAGTACATAAAATAAAGTACTCTGTGTGACGGGGTCCTTACTGAAAAATTCCTTTTCTGGTTTTGTGCAACTTCTACAAGAAGCATTACTAGCAATGCAGTAGGACTTATCTGAGTAACCAGTGTCTTATTTCTCAGGAGACAGGAAGAACCCAGGCAAATTCTCTCTCAGTTGTCCCAATACAACAAACAGTCTCAGCAGAGGTACTGAAAGCCTGCATGTAGTACTTCACGTATCTTTTTGAGAAACTATATCATCAAGTTGGCCAACTCAAATACAAAAGCATTCACGGTTACAACCACTCACTGAAAAATCTAGAAAATAGCAAGACTTTATGCAAAATATTTATATATTATATATATTAAAGTAATTAGGAATAAATTATTTAGGAAGAAATAAAGAGTATTTAATATTTACAGTTAATTTTTCTTCTTTCAATTTCAGGTTTTTCTCTACTACTGCTCTGGGGACAAGTTTATCCCCTGTGCTGTCCTAAAGGGGAGCATGCACTTTCCACCGCAGCATACATAAATCCAGTGCAGCCCAGCATGCATGTTGTCTGACAGGACTAAAATGCCAATTAGTACCATTAAGATCCAGTAGACTAAAGTTATAGAAGGAAAAAAGGCTGGGACACCAAGTACTTAACCTAAATAGAACAAAAGCAAGAAATGCTATAATTAGTAACTCCTAGTTGGTGAGAACTCTTACATTATAAAGAGAACAAACACCTCTGTTTGTAGGAGAAAAAAGTAACTGCATTTTTGTCCAGCTTCTTATTAATCACATAATGTGAGTTATTTTGAGGAGTTCAAATCTCATTAAAATTAACAAAATTACAATAAAGTCTTAATTACACAATCCTGAGAATTCAAGTCAAAACTCCTCTCTCTTTCACTAGTGCAGGAAGAGAGAATTTTCAAGAATAATGATGTCAGTAAAGTTTCTCAAAAAAACAAACCAACCCCAAAACTGCAGCAATAAAAATAAACCCCACAACCGCAAAACACGAGAAATTATTTTACTTTGCTATGGCTTTATTTAAAAAAATACATAAATAAATAAATTACTGTAATTGGTCAGGTAGCAACAATTCCTACATTGAAGGCAAAAAAAACCCAAACAACTGCATGCATTTTCACAAGCTGAAAAAAATATGCAAGTGCTATCAAATACTTTCTTCTGTTAGGAGTCACTCATACAAAGTTATAAATATCTTCTGTTCAACTTCATAGGCTTTAGTCAGTATAATGAATTCTACCCGCCCAGTTCCCAAAGCACAGAGAGGTTACTGGGGGAGAGGGGAAAAAAATCCTTGTGCTTTGGGGTTTTATTGTTTTTCATTCATTTACCAGTAGTTCCAAATGACTTAAAGCTACTCAAGAAAAACTCCAAATTAAGCTCTTCCAGCTGTGAGAATACTTAAGGTTCCTCTCTCACATCTGTTCCCGTTTCACAGGGCAAACCCATGTTGCAGGCACAATACTAGCAGACCTGCCTTTCTGTGGGACTACGAGAATAGATAAATAACTGCAGTAACATAACTAACTCCAAATCCCTCCAACCTTCCTGGAGAGTCAGGCCAAATAAAGCGGTCAAGAAATTCAGGAGACAGAAATATGAAGTATAATCAAAGACTTTCATTACAATAGAGGCTAAAATAATGAGAATAAAGTGGGTTTTATAATCAGCTTGAAAAGCACAAATGCATAAAAGGCATGTATTCTGACACATTCATATTATTTCAAAAATTATGATACTCTATGATTTCCAGTATTTTATTTTCTAAAAAGTATTGACTTACTGTAGAAGCTGAAAGAAAATTTAAGTAGTACTTGAAATTAATATACTTCATTATCATTTGTGAGTTTTTAAACTCATTTAAATATGTTTTTGAACAAGTCACTTCAAGAAAGTGGCAGAATAGAAGGCACAACACACAAGTTTCTCCTCTGTGCATAGAAAAGGTAGAGCCCAAACAAAAAAAAGAAGTCTCTAAGGTAGAAAATACAGTAATAGGATAATTGAATTCTGCATTAAAGACACTAATTTGCAAACAGTTACTTGCTTACTAACCTTTAGCCTTCTAACCATCTCTTCTTTAGATATTTTATCAGAGATTTCTTTGACTCCTGGAGGATATGTGATTTTTCCATCGTTGGCTCTCGTCTTTGAATGAGCCATGATTTCACGATTTTAAAACTGTGGAAAGAAATTAAGAAGTCACTGTTTAGTGAGTTTGTTTACCTGTCCCACTTTCACAAACAAAATTCAACTGGAAATATACAGACAAAACCCGTACAAACAACGAAGAAACTGGACAAAAGACATGTACTCTTTTCAGTAGTCTATACTGTAGCAGACAGCAATGGTTCTAATATTCAGGTAGATTGTCCCATAATACAGTGAAACTTTAAAGAAGTACACAACAGAAAAGCTAAAATCCCTCATTCCTGAATGTACTTGATCTTCAAACTCAGAGATGCAACCAAGAATCTTATTTTACTGTACAAACTGTTACCACCACTTGGCAATAATAAATCCTACCCAGCTTGGATGTTTTCACTGAGAACAGCCATCTGAGTGGACTTTGTGTTTTCCAAATGATTAAATAGAGCACAATTTACCCAGAAGTCTAAATAGCAGTGCTGCTGAAGTATTACACACCACTAATATTAACTTGCCTATACTGCCAGACAAGCAGCAGATGAAGTAGGGACAGGAACAGAGCAAACCAAGTGGAAGTCTTTCCTCTATGCCATAAAGACAAGTTTTGAAGCAAAAGAGTACAGATAAGCAACAGCACCTTCTTCTTAAATGCCAGCTACAAAAACAACTCAGTTACTTGGTTTCTCAGTCCCTTTCAAATGATGCAAATGCAGACTGCCACCTAATCCATCCTAAGCTACGCAAAGTTCCACTGCTGTAGAGAAGGAAGCCAAATTGAAAGCTTTACTTATATAAAAGCAACTAATACAAAAGACAGTGAACCAGATGGGGATAACTAAGATATTAGAAAGAGAATGTACCAGGGCAGTTACAAGTCAAGGATGTAAAAAAAAAAAAAATCAACACCAAACAAACAAACAAAAAAAGGAAATAAAACTTCATTGCCCTTGCCTTGATATTTTTATTTATTTAAAAGTTTGAAACACTTCCTCACAGCCAGCACTTTCCTGACTTGTGACCTTCAAGTCAGGCATTTTCTTCCTCCTGACCTCCTATACAAGGAGTATCCATGTACACTTCAAACTTCTCGGAACTATAACATAAGAAATAAAAACTAACCAGAATACACAAGAAAAGACGGGCTAGAAGCAGGTTCTATAACAGGATGGTATAACCTGCCATAACTGAGATTTCACAGTTCAAGTCAAGGTCATTCTACACTTAAAGAGAACTGGAGCACAAAACGTACTCATCCACCCATCACTGACAAATATCCCAACAAGTATTGTTGGGACACTGAGGGAGGTGGTTCTGCCCCTCTACTCTGCTCTGGTGAGACCTCACCTGGAGTACTGTGTCCAGCTCTGGAGTCTCCAACACAAAAAGGACATTGAAGTGCTGGAGCATGTCCAGAGGAGGGTCACAAAGATGATCAAAGGGCTGGAGCACCTCTCCTATGCAGGCAGGCTGAGAGAGTTGGGGTTGTTCAGCCTGGAGAAGAGAAGGCTCCGGGAGGACCTTATAGTGACCTTCCAGTACCTGAAAGGTGTCTACAAGAAATCTGGAGAAGAGCTGTTCACTAGGGCATGTAGCGATAGGATGAGGGGTAATGGTTTTAAACCAGAAAAGGGTAGATTTAGGTTGGATATTAGGAAAAAGTTCTTCAACATGAGGGCAGTAGATCACACGGACAGGTTGCTCAGAGAGGTGATGGAGGCCCCATCCCTGGAGATACTCAAGGTCAGGCTTGATGGGGCTCTGAGCAACCTGATCTGGTAACATTGTCCCTGCTCACTGCAGGGGGGTTGGACCGGATGATCTTTAAAGGTCCCTTCCAACCCAACACATTCTATGATTCTGTGATTGTATTCTTCAGTCCACGTTTCATGGTAACAAAGTTGCAGTTTTTGCTTCATCTTTGCTAATCTCTTACAAAACAAAAAGTTAACACTGACATGTAAATCATTTGTGAAGAATATCTGCAGCACAACACAGAAACGGGGAAAATACGAACAGAACGAACATAATCGGATGCAATTCAACAGGCATGATATGCAATGCAGTTCTATAGCTACACAAAAGCCATTACAGTTTCTCTCATCTTCTCTGCACCTACATATCCACAGCAGCTGAACTGAGTGCTATGTACTTGCAATTGCAGTAAAAATGGATAATGAGAAAGCTGGGACGTTACACAACTTACGGAAGTAAGTTTTTCTAATGCTCCCAGGAAAATATGCTGTCTTTATCCACATTATTTCTTAATGCACCGTCATGACAGTAAGTCTAGGACTCCTCAAAAATGCATTGAAGATGTAACCAAGGTCACTCTTCTTGCTGTTTGATATAGATACTCCAGCCTAGCTTTGAGATGGAATGATGTTACATATCACAGCTAAATTCATCTTAACAGCTGATAACAGCAATAGGGACTTTTGCTCCCCTCAATCCAAGAATGTATAAAAGCATCAAATGCTTTGCTGGACCAACCAAACTTACCAACTCAGAAAAACAAGCCTCATTGTTTTTGAAACATGTGACAAGCACCAAAGTTAACTGATGGGAAGGAACAGGAACTAAGGGAACAAAACTCCCCCTTCCAGTGGTGGATAGCTGTCAGGTCAGACCTACAGGAACGGAACCTTCATTAGAACATGGTGATACAGTCCCATTTGGAGCACATTACAAAATAATTCAAAGACTGAAACTCGTAATTATGGTCAATTTAACTGTCCAGCTGGTATGGCCAACCGACACACCACCAAGCTTTTATGCTTGAATGACATCCAAGGTCTGGGTTCGAAACTGAACATATGTATTTTGTTTACACGGCAAGATTTTGGTAGCAGGGGAAGCTGCAGGGATAGCCTCTGTGGGAAGACACCAGGAGTTGCCCTTGTGGAGGACAGAGACAGTTCCAGGCATCTCCAAAATGGGCTCGCTCCTGGCCAGAGCTGAGCCCATCAGGCACCTCTGCGATAACATATTCAAGAAATGGTAAAAAACACTAGAGAGCAGCTATGACAGAGGGAGATGAGAAAAAGATGTGAGAGAAACAACTCTGCAGACACCAAGGTCAGTGAAGAAGGACAAGAAGGATGTGCTTTAGGCACTGGACTAGATTCCCCTGCAGCCCACAGAGAGGATGATGGTGATGCAAACTGACCCCCTGCAGCCCATGGAGGACCATGTTGGAGCAGATATGCACACTGCAGCCTGCGGAGAGGAGCCCAAACTGCAGCAGGCTCCAGGCAGGACTTGTGACCCTGTAGGGGACCCACGCCCGAGCAGTCTGTTCCTGTACCTCATGATAGGGGCCCAGACTGGTGCAGCTGGAAATTATCAAAACAAACTATTCTTTTTAGTCAGAAGGAAGAGTCAGCAGTTTTAAAATAAAAAGCACTTTGATAGACTTGTCCTGTCCATCAAATTGACTCTGAAATAACAAATGCAGGATCTAGACTACCACAGGGTATTTAACACATTCTGGAGTGCTGCAATCTTCATCAGTTCAGAGTTACATATCACCTGCAAGCTTGAGATTTGGAAAACCCAGCACAGGTTACATGAGTTCAATTTCTGGTAAAAGCACACTTACAGGGGTGCTGGGCCACAGGTTAAGTCTCATTTAAACTTCGTTTTTGCAACTATAGCAATGATAAAGCTTGACAAGTTATGTAGGGTACTGTCATGGCTCATACAGTTGTTCAATCACCTAATGACTCCTCCCCACCCAGGGAAGGGAATCAGGAGAAGGAAAGGAAATCCGTGGATTGAAATGGGAATAGATTTAGTAAAATAATAAAAACTACTATTAATAACAGTATTAATATAAAGCACACAGAGTTATACTCAGTCAATATAGTGGGGGAGTAGGCCTCAGGGGTAGGATGGTGGACAAATCGCTCTTGAGGTGAAAGCCATGGAAGAAGGAGCACAATTCCCAGCAAACTCCCTAATTTATAGTGAATGTGCTAATTATGGTAAAGCCTAATACTAATTGGTCAGCCTGGGATCAACTCACCTGGTTTCCGCTTCCCCCAGCCTCTGCACACGTTTATCTCAAGACCACTAAAGACCTTGAGCATCACATACCAGTGCCAGGCAAAAAGTATAACAAAGTGTCTTATCAGCTTTGTTCCCAGGAAATAAGAGTGCTGTAGTCCTTACAGAATTGGAGTTTTCCTGAGCAGAAAACTGACTCTAAAACTCTGTCTCAGTAAACCAGTACAGGTACATAGTAACTTATTCCCCTCAGAAGCATAAAAACCACTAAGTAGGAATTAATTTTCTATAAAATTAATACATCTAATCTTATAGACCAAAAATTAATTTTAAAAAGGTTCAATGAAATAGCCTATTACTTCGAGCGTAAGGGGGAAAAGAGTAAAATACTTTTTAAATTTCCAACGTAAAAAAAAATTGGCAGATCACTCCT